GATCATTTCATTTTCAAGGTAAATTTCCATTTTGTTTTTTTTTTTTATTTCAGAATAAAACTGAGAAATGTTGCTACACGTCGCTTCCCCCGCCCCACCACATAGGACCACCAACCACACTACCCTCACCTCCTAAAGCAGTTTCCATGTTTGGGGGGACTCAAAAAAACTGAGCATTTAGAGATGATTGCAACCTCAGTACCCACTCTGTTTGGCCATTTAGGAGAGATCTGAATGCAAAGCTTGCTATTCAACCTTCAAAACACTAACTCCTATTAGGATGCCACAAGATGCCTGATAAGAGGAAAGTTGTCTCCGCACATATGCATATAAACATTATATTCCCTAAGTGCGACTTTGGCACAAATCTAACTTCAGACACAGGAAGTCGATTGGGGAAATCATAGTTAACTTGGAAGACAGGAAGGTATATTTGCATTCAGAAGTGTGCTTCTAAAACCAGAAATTCTACGCATCAAATCTTGATTGGAAAATGTTCATGTATATTGTGAAGTTTTCATTTTTTTAAAGTCTTCACTATTTGTCTCTGCTACATGAACTTAGTAGACTTTAGTCCTGCTCCAGTTCATCCACCTAAAGGACTGTTACTGCTTCATAAGCTCACATTTCTCATTTTAAAAAACACCCTGGCATAGTTTTACACACACACATTTTAAAGAAATGCGAAGTAAGAGTAAACATCACTGTGACAGGAATTGCACAGAACATCAAGGAAGATGGCTTTAGCTCTAATATTTGCTGTTGAATAGCACTGTGGGAAAAACATCCTCCTACTTCCTTCCACTCTGCCTGACCACGGGAAAGGACATAGAACCCCAGACCAGCATGCATCCTAGGAGACGCAGCCCACAGACACTGAATGACTGAGCCAGCGGGAACCTTGGCGTCAGTGGCTCCAGCTTCCCATTTCACAGATGGGAAAACTGAAGGATGTCCAGTGTTTGTAGCTTTTTCTGCTTTCTCCCACCTTTTTCTCTGCTCCTCTAGTGACTTCAGCTTTGTGATCATATAAGCAGAGTCCCTCACCCAACATTATCCAGACATTTGGGAAACTGGACCACAGCTCTGCCTCCCAGCTCATTGGATGGACTTCCCAGCACATAGTCAGCAACAGATCTCATTGGGTGGACTCAGAGCTGTTCCTGTTGTTTTCTGGTTCTCAGAGGACTAAGAGTCCTGCTCCTGGCTAATGAGTCTGGCCAATGTATGAGTGACATCCTCAGACTTATTAAGAGCAGACTCCGGGAAGGGGAGTAGACGAGTTAAGGCTGCTGTGGTTTTTAACTGTTGCTGCAAATTACCTGGTGCATGCTTGGTCAACAGTTGAAAGAAATATAGGGCGTATTGAGAAGAGGGGATGGGTCTCTTGCTGCTTTCCTAAGGTTGTGCGGACCCAGACTCTTCGTAGGCCTGTGCTGTTCCCATGGTGAGAGGATGGGAAAACCTGACAAGTAAATCTACCTGCTCCACTAACAACCTTCGTGACCTTGGGAAACTGACTGACTTTCTTGAGCTATAATTTTCTTTTCTGTAAATGCAGTCTACCTTACAGCGATTTTATGCAGATTAGATTAGACAACGTGAGACAAGAATGAGAGACACGACAGGTTGTCAACAAGTTGCCCTTACCTGGCCTTTACATCTGTCTGGGAGGTAGCTGCCAGCCGGCTTCCCCCATTCTCCTGTCCCTCCGGAGTGGGTCTGGACATTTTTGCCCTATTGGCACAGCCCTGGAAACTTCCCTTAAATGCAGAGCATCAGGGCTGTTTTTCACTGACATGCACCACACGTGCAGCTGGCCATGTTAGCAGTGTAGCCTGTCTCCAACACTTCACTGATGCTAAACATGGCTTTGGGAACAGAAACACCCAGGTGAGCAGGTTTCTGTCTGCTGAGACATGATTGTTTGGAAAGACACTTTCAACATTGACATGCTGGTAGGGAAATATTTATTTTACTAAATGGACTTGAGTATTTTGCAGAGTAAATATTTAAAGTCATGAAGCTTCTGTGGCTTTTACATATACAAATGATACGGGAGGGCTCCTCCCCCAAATCAGTGTTCGAATTGCCTTCCACAGTCTCTGGTTCAGAACTTGTGGCTTTCCAAACCCAGTGGCTGTGCAGGTTGCAGCAAGTTTGAGCATCTACAAATGTACATTTTGCAAATTCAAAACCACAGTCTTTGGAATCCAATGTTTTTTGATTCTTTCATGAAAATGTTGGCCATAAAATTTTCTTTTAGGTTAAGCATTTGAAACATTGTCAGTCAGCTTTTCAGATTACCCTGTGAGCCTGAAGAGAATAAAATGATTTAAAAAAAAAACCCTTCTTCATCAAAAAGTATAATTAATATTCACAAAAGTTCTTTGGTTAAGAAAAAACCAACTTTACCTAGGAGTTTAGACCCCTGTTATGCACAGGGAATAATAGTTTGTAGACATCAACCCACTTGTTATACTGATAAGTTCAATCAATCCCAATCAAGACTTGCCCCAACTGTGTATTTATCAAGTTTAAATGAAGCCATTGAAAATAGCAGCCCTCCTCCATCCTCCCAGACTCCTGCTTAACTCAGCCTAGGAGTCCTTCCGAGGTGCCTTGCCATCGAAGGTCTGATCCTACGGGCGACGGCTGACGAAGAAGTTTGGAGGAGGGCTGGTGAATACGAGCATTTGGCTCCACACTCTTAACCCTGAGGATGTTGGTCTTTGATAGCACGAGTAATAGCCATCATTTCCAGATGTTTAAGAGGTGGTCTCCAAAATACACTGCAATTTTAACTGAATTTCTCGGGCAAGAAACTACTGGAGGGAGAGGAAAGAGGGAAAGAAGAAAAAGCCCAAGAGAGCAGATGAGAACACTGGCGCGGCCCGTGTATTAAGGGAATGAGTGATCAAGTAAGGCCAGCTTCTGGAGGAGCGTTGGAAGCTGATGGTGCTTTCACTGATCCCGGAAACAAGTGCTGTGCTGTGCTGGGTTCTGCCTGCCTGTATGCGCGTGCATCTTCAGGCCTCCAAGTCCTCGGAGTCAGAGCCGGGGCACTGAAAGACGCTGAGACACGACTTGTAGGAGGTGTGCGCCAGTGTCTGCACCGCTGACCTGAAGGACCATGTGTTACTCCCGAACCTTCAGCCCTGCCAAGCGACAGAGATGGGCAGTGGGCAGTGTCTTGTCTCAGAGCTGGAATTCTGCTCACAGTGGCCAGGGAAGCACCAGCTACTCCAAGTGCCTTTAAATAATTTCATTTAGGAAAAATGATACCATCCATCACGCTGAGTTCTGGGGTCATTGAGTATTCCAATTTTCTGGGGAAAGTAGTTTGAATCACTTAGGTGCAATCAGTGAGGAAGAACAAGACCTAAGTAGCCAATAAACCAAGAACTGGCTTCAAGCCACGCTGCAGAAAATGGTGCCTAATAAACTTACACTGGCACAAAAAATACAGAATTATAAAATACCAAACCCAAGGCAAATGTTCGGGGAAATTTTTGATTGTTTGGTGTTTCAATGTTACATATTCCTTCCTAAATGATGTCCTTGGTCAGCTATTTTTAAATTCAAAATAAGATCTCTCTCTAACTCTGACTCTGTCTCTCACACACACAATCACACATCTTAATGTCCTATTGTTTTAGTGTATTAAAATGTTTGCCTACTTGTAAGCTGCAAATTTTAAATATCAAAGCAGTGTAATCCACAGCCAAAGAAGCCACTCATCGTTGCCTCCTTAGATCTTAGCGTTCTGTGGAAGTGGCACAAGTTTTCGCATTCTGGCTGTGCATTACTTGGGCCCTGGCAGAGACTGATGCCCAAGGGCCAGCCTGGGCAGACACACTCCCGCTACATCCTCCGCAGAATCGCAACTCCCTGCCAGGTCCCGCGGCCTGGGTGCTGCACAGGCTTTCGGACCGCCCGTGGCCAGGAGAGACCAGTGGACGGGAGCACTGAGGCCAATGGGGAGGTAACTCCCATTGTTTAGATTTTCGTCAGAGGATGTAGGAATACTTAATTTCTTTTCTCTCTAGAGCTTTCATTATCATTTAAATTTCATTTTACATTAATTGATCAGGGATTAGTAAAGCCATTATGCAGAAATTAAAATAAGACAAGCCAGATGGGATGAATAATTCATGAAGTCCAATTACATCTCATTTCTGGTGTACTTTCAAACTTGCCTCTGACTTCGGTGCTGTTTTGACGTGACAATATTCACGGAAATCAAGGATGCCATTCTCTTATTATAGGGCTCTCGAGTAGAATCTTTTTAATGCAGGAAGGGTCTTGGATCACATCCCCTCATCCCTCTCCACCCCCGCCCCAGAACACCACATTGTGGTTCAAAGAAAATCTCAGTAAGCCACAAAGTCGGGTTCCCTCTGCGTAGCTTCGGGAGTCCCTACATGGAGCCGTAGTGGCTTCCTCTTCTGGAAGAACTGCTCCTGTATAGAGATGGGTCGTTAGTGCGTGCTGCCGGCCCTTGTCCACAGCTCAGCACCCAGCACCGCAGGCCAGCAGCACAGCTGTCGCAGCACTGCACCGGCACCACCAGGTGGCAGGCGTCACCTTCCATGCGCTGGGCACCCGGTGCCGCCAAGCGCACCCGCGGACCTGGGCCGGGCACACCGCTGCTGGCTGGGGTCGGGCTCCCAGTGACCCTGCGGAGCTCGGGGGCCTGGCTGAGTGAGGGGGCGGGCCTGTCCACCTGCCTGGAATGTCCCCCTGCCACGGCCGCCAGCCGGGTGGGAACCGCTGCCTCCCCCCACTCTGACCCCGGTGCGCCCTCCACCCCGCACGGTGTATTTACGCCAGCGGACAGTGGCAGTCACATGAAAGCTCCGCGTCCCCTTCCCGGGGACTTTCATCTGGGGCAGTTTTATGACACTCGGTGAAATGTGCCAAGTTTTTAATTAGGCTCCCCAGACAGCCCTGGGGCAGCGGCAGCGCCACGGAGTCTTCACGGTGTCTCCTCTCTGCAGCACAACAAGCCACTCTACTCCTTTGAAGACAACGCGGACTACGTGTACGACGTCATGTGGTCCCCCGTGCACCCTGCGCTCTTCGCCTGCGTCGACGGGATGGGGCGCCTGGACCTCTGGAACCTCAACAACGACACGGAGGTGAGCGGCTCGGGTGGCAGCGCGGTCGGGAGCCCACGCAGACCCTGCTGGGCACCTTAAGCGCCCTGGGACCGGCTGGGGTACCCGCTCTCGCGCCTCGGCCCAACCCCCTAGGCGGTTGCACTGGGGGTTCTGGTTTGGTTTGGTTTCTCCGGAAGCACAAGGATGATGACTGCGTGTGCCTCTCCCCGAGTGGCATGGAGATCCATTGGCTGTGGCGCACGCTGTTTCTGAATGGGGCTGTTTCTCGGTGTGTGCCATTTGTTCACTCCCCAAAGAGTAGATCCTGTTGACTGTTGGCAAACTGCACCTGTGCAGTTTCCCCCTCCCCCCAAATCCAAAGTACATGTCTCAGATGACGACCTCAAGAACAGATATTTATTTCTATTGGAACTTGTCTCTAAACTCGGGGTTTACTTTAAGGTGCTCCAGTTGGAGTCTTCTCGAGGGAAAAGCAAATCACTTGATGATGAAGAAATATCCTTGTTGGCTAGGTGTGCCCTGTGATGCCAAGCGCACAGCAGCCCTAAACTGTGGAGGTAACTCAGGTCTTGGGACAGTTTCTCACATGGCCAGTGAATGGCTTCTAATTTGATACACTGAAGTCGGCTGTGAATCTGGCTCTGATTTCTGATCCTTCCGGATCTGCACATATTGAGAATGGACAGGTAAGAGAGGCAAGACAGGCGAGTGCTGTGGGCTGCAAGCCAGTCAGTGGAGGAGGAGAGCGAGGTCTTTTGAAGTGTTGGGAGCAGGAAGCAGCGCAGCCTTTTTAATTAGGAAGCCCAAAGCTGGAGGGCTGAGGAGGGGCAGGCTCCCAGGGCACAGGGGTAGGGAGTGGGGGTGGCAGACCCCCTCAGGTATGGGTATGGAAACATTGTATCTCGGGGTCCCTAGAGCGAGCAGTGCTGTCCTTGCCCTCTTGCCGTTTAAGTCTTTGCCCAACAAGAAACGCAGTGAGGAGGCTGGGAGTTCTGTGACGCAGAGACCCAACGGGCCTGACGCGGTGAATCATCGTCGCTCTTTGGACTGCTGAAATGTTTACGTTGTGGTTGTTTTTAATAGAAAGATGTTACTGCATTGCCCTGTAATGGCTTCCCAGTCTTTCATCACTGTTGATTAGAATCATACTGCTCCTCTGTGCTAGCCAGACCCCCTCACAGCAAGCCAGTCACAAACCTCTTCTCGGACATGGCAGGCGCTCACCCGAGATCCAGGTCTGTTGAGCCGATGTGTGCGTAATGACCAGCGCCTAGCCAGGAGCTGAGTGCAGGACAAACTCCTTAGTAATTCCTGGGGTTTGTTTAAATCTTGGTGGGTTTTTCTTTTCTTTTAAATAAAACAAAGCTGATACCTCAACAGTGCCGAGCATAATTTTCTAGATAGCAGTAAAGAAATATCTAAGCGTAGGTAGCTGAATGCTTTCATGCCAAAGCAGGCAGTGTTGTGGAAGTCAGTTGGGTGGAGGGACCTGAACTCTGCTCGCAGTCCAGGAACTGGCTGCAGGCTTTTTCATACCCTCAAAGCATTTTTGTCTCCCAGCAAGTTTAGTAAGATTTTTCAAATATTCATCAGGTTAGGGATGAATTTGTTTAAAGCCTGATTTTTCTAGTGAGGTAGCAGGTTTTGTTAGGGTTGTAATTGCTGTTCAAGTTGCTATGTGTTGAGACCAAATTGTCCCATTTGCTCTTGTGGCCTGGTTCCTATCTGGCCACCTCTGCTCACGGTAGCTGCCTTGTATGTTTGCATAAACACATGCATGCCCCCTTTGCTGGTACTGTGCTTGAGCCAGGAAATGTGAAAACGTCTGTAAAACCAGAGCTCAAGCGTCAGACGCAGCACATGGGTTATTTATTATTATGGATTCAGCAGCTTTTGACAAGTCATTACCAATTAAATACACATTATATAAATATATTTTAGTCATTTCCTTCATGCATTTTTCTAGCATATACTATAATAGGCTCTGATAGTATTTTTTAAGCCATAAAAAGAAGGTTTTACAAAATGTTTGCCATATTTTTTTTCAGTTTGCTGTATTTAAATTGCAAATGCAATTTTAAAAATATTTTAGTCATAATTTTTAAGCATATGAAAAGATCAGGGAATTAGTGATTATTATATTGAGGTACAAAATATTTTTGATTTTTGAAACGCTAGCTAGATAAAATTTGATACTCATAGAATTAAGAGATAGGGTCCTATGCGATCCTTGTAAACGATGATGTAAAAAATTAACTCTTGAGACCCTGTGGCTGAATAGTGGATTTGTTTCCCATGCAGCTCGCTAATAATAAAAAGCATGATCAGAATTACGGTCCACCTAAATTCATCCCGGCTTTTAAAGGCTTTGATTACAAGTTCAAGCTCCAACCATGTACCTTTACTGCAGAAATGGTGCATTTGCACAGAACAAAATGTGGGAGGGTTTTTTGGTTTTGTTTTGTTTGCTGCTGTTGTATAATTTTGCTCACAACTGACATGTCATGATTTAAGCGGGTGAAAATTTTATTTCAAGATTAAGTTTAAGCACAGATTCTTACATATGATAGTTTTTATTTTAGAAGTGGGTGTTGGGTCAGAGATTTCATGTAAACAGGGGGTTTCAATTCTCTGAGCAGCAGAAGGCCGGGAGTGCTGGGGCGCAGACTGACCGTCTGGCCAGTCTGTGTTCACTGGCTACAGATTGAGACAGTGGCGTGTAGGTCCTGGGTGGTTCTCCTTCTGCCACATTTTTTTGTTTGTTTGTTTCAGCATGTACCCTTTGCTGTCTTGGTGGCATGCTATTTCCTGCTTAGTATTCTTGTAGAGGACTCAGCAGATCTGAACTTTATGGACAGTGAAAAACTTCCAACCTGAATGACCCAAGTTCATGCAACCAGCGAAGGCTGCTGCAGGATAAAAAGGACTCGTTCTTCATAAATTATATGTTCCCCAAATTGTGAAAAAGAGCTCCTTTAACAACACAAGGGATGGGCAGTGGTAGTGAGTGCCACTGCTTCTCTGCATGGTACCAGTTACACGGAACCACAGCGGCTCCAAGCCACACCGTCAGCTCACAACCGGGAGATTGCGGGGTTTACCAAGGTTTAGGAGACTGTGAAAGGTACAAATGAAAGTCATTAACCTGAGTCTTCTAGAAAAGAAATCTGTGCAGCTGACACCTCATGGAGATGGTGGTGAGGTGGGGGGTGTGTTTGAGGGGGTGGCCAGATGTTGACAACCAAGCATGCAGGTAAACCCTTGCAAACCTCAACTTCTCCCTTCCTTCCTTCCTTCCTTCCTCTGTCTGTGCCCCTTCTCCCCACCCCCACCTCTAGGATTTGGGAAGTGGTCCCCCAGGGTGTTGTCCTGACAGAAGGCATTTTCCACAAGTGGGTGGCTACATTCTATATCCTTTAATACAAACACCCCAAACGTGAAAACATGAATAATTATAGTAATGATTATTATAGGGTGAACTGGAGGTGCCAACTTGCAGCCCACAGTGTTTCCTCCACGAATGTCCCTCTTTTATCCTGCACAAGGCTTATGGATATGCATGTATACAGATACCTATGTTATGTACAGATATATGTATATACATAGGAAGATATGTGGTTAAAAATGTATGTATTACTTCATGCCCACAAAGGCAGCCGTGACTCATCCAGCTCAACATGTCACTGTTAATTCGTGTGCTTACCATTCATAGTTAGAAATCATTTTCCCCTGTCACAACTCTTTCGGCAGGTTCCAACAGCGAGTGTCGCCATTGAGGGGGCATCTGCCCTGAACCGCGTCCGTTGGGCCCAGGCTGGCAAGGAGGTCGCAGTGGGGGACTCTGAAGGCCGCATTTGGGTCTACGACGTCGGAGAGGTAGCTGTGGCTTGGCTCCTTTGGGTTCTTACTGAATTTATGCTTGTAGCTTGAAGTCCTAAGGAACCCCTGATGTGACTCCATGGTGACTCCAGTGTGCTGGCAGGTCTCTGTTGATTTCAGTGGGAATTCGGAGAGATTTCTTAGGGCCTCATTCGCTCTCCGGCCTCCAGGCCCAGGACACTTTAGTTGGTACTCAGACTTCCCAGCAGCCCTGTGCGCAAACACGGCACTTACCAGCAGTTGGAGAATGACAACTTTGCCAAATTCGTCGTACTGTGAACTTGGAATTGGTTGTTTGCTTTGAAAAGTCAAGTTTTAGTTGGGATGCTAAATTGCAATGAATATGGTTTTCTCTTTAATTAAAGTGCAGCCAGTGAAAACATCTGAGGTTAATCAGAATTTTGTATCAGTTTTATAAAAGATTCCCAAAGTTACTATGTGGGACAGATACCTTTCTGATATCTTATTACAGGATATCTAAAGCAGGTCTGAGTATCATGGCACATATTAAAGGAAAATCTGCTTATTTTATTTCCAAAAAACCTCTTTAGATGTTTGCACTGTATTTAATATTGCATAACCTATCAATCATGCTTAAGCTTATTTGCTTATTTTTTACTATATGAGAAAACATCAACAAAAACCTTCATTTTGGGTGAGGCTAAGGAATGTTTTCCAGAAAGACAAACTATTGCACTTTCAAGCAAAACAAAACATGAGCATTGGGTAAATATTCTTGGCATAATTGGAATCTAACGTGCTAGGGGTTGGGGTGGGAGGCGTTTCCCACATCTGTGTGCATTCCGCCTTATTTACACTGAAAGTTCTCTCAGTACCTGGAAGATGGGTTTAGCTGATCGCATGGAGCAGGGGTTTTCATGGCTTCCTTGGTCATCATGCTATAAACTTGGCAATCATAGATGGTTAGCTCTATGGTGGAACTTCTGATGATGTATTACTTGATGCTGTTATGGTACAGTTGATAGAGTTGAAACCAGCTGCCTGAGATTCTTTTAAAATACAGTGGGGAGCTGAAGCTGAAGGACTTCGGAGATGGGAGCTTTCCATTCTCAAATGGTGGGCTCTGAGAAACGCAGCAGGGTCTCTTGAGTTTGTTGCTTGCTGTCTGTTTGATGGGACACCCCCTTGACTGCTCCTGGTGCCAGGAGCTGAGTCATTGTAACGGTGACAATGGCTGTGTTAATTAATATCGGCCCCCCAGTGGAGAAAATGCAAATGGTTTGGTGCCTGTTGATGCAATTTAGAGTCTCTGGGAAAAAGAATACTGGCTGGGTTGGAAATACCACCAAGAGTTTTATGGCAGTATTTTCTTCAATGAGTGTGCTTAATATTTGATTCATGTTTTTGCATGATCTTCGCCAATATAAAACTAAACAACGAAAAGATAAGTACTCTTGAGGGAATCATTTCCGAAAAAATGAAAAAGGGCAAAGGAGATTAGGAAGAAACCAGGCTCTCACATTCACTCCATTTCTGCTCTCCCTTTCTTGCTTTTCTTTCTGATAAGTGGAATTACAGGATAGAAGTATATCTGGAAGCAAGCTCAGCTGAAATAGAAGAATGTGGATAAAACTTAAAAATTATTTTATGCGACTAGAATTATCCCATTTCCCTTTGATGTATTCCAAGAGGGTTACAGTTTGATCATCTGGTGTATTGTTAAAGGGCGTTTGGAAAAAAAATCTTTATTGACTTAAATAATATGGAACACATCACTGCACAGGAAGAAAGCAATATAACATATGTGGAATGGTCTGAAATACAGTGGTTTTGTAGCTATGGATAGTTTCTTGAAAATGACTCATTTGGGGGTATATATGATTTTTGCAAAGTTGCTTTGGCTGATATGTGGCTGCTAAAACTTCTTTCTAAGACGCTATCATCATTTCTAAATTGGAAAGTGTTGTTACACTCGGATTTCTGCTATGGTCCTGGCAGGTCAGGCTGGTTTTCATTTTTGTGTTATTGCCCTTACTTTTCTAAGTGATATTACAGACTAAAGAAATGTCTGCAGCCATAGGCTGGTCTCGCCTATTGTCTGCAGTCTAGACAGGCTATAGAAAACTCCCTGTGACATATAATAGGCCAAACAATTTGTAGACTTGTTTATCCCTACAAATTCACTACTGGGGGAAAAAGGATATAGTATTTTATTGAGAGTAGGTAATATTACAATCTTTTAGCCTTTCTCGGAATGACCGGAAATCAGGATAGGCTTATACACTTGAACAGTTCTTCCTGTATTATTTGGTACTGGACAAAACCAACCATAGCTCACAGCAACTGACTTAACCAAATAATTTCATCCTAACTGCAGAGTTTTGTTCTAAGTGTTTCTGGTAAGGTATCTCATCTCTGTTTCGGGGTCAGGAGAGGCTGTTCTCTGCCTCCCTGCTCGCCTCCATGGCTTCCTGTGAGTCTCTGAAGAGCACACTGGGGGAGGTGCCATGTCCTCAGGGCAGGGTGACTTCGCTATGACTGGGTTGTGACTGAAGCCCGCTGTGACATTCTGCCATTGCTGTAGTGACTGCTGTGCCGTCCCCCCCGACCAGCACTGATGGGATATCATTGTGCTTTCCCACTGCCTGAGACAATGCGCAGCTACAGAAAGCCAGATAGGCACCCATAGGGTGAGCCAGCCCACTGAGAATCAGAGTTCAAATCTGTGACTGGTGTGTGGTTGGGCAGAGAGACTGGGTTTGGGCAGGAAACTATTTAAAAGCGAAAAACAGCATTGAGCGGGTTGTGGCACCAGGAAAAGGACCGTCATGCTATCTGTATGAGACAGCAAAGGGTGCCGTGCACGCTGTTGACCCATGTCCCTTTGGAGCCCAGTGCACTGAGTGGATGCCCGTCCGTGGGTGGCATCTCTGTTCCTTCTCCTGGTGTTGATATGGTCGAGACTCCTGCTAGGTGGGAGAGGAAAGCTATCTCGTGCCAAGGTCCGACTTTCTGAGGGAGGCTGGCATTATGGGTGTGGGACCTGGGCAACACATTGAGCCCTGTCTTAAGAGAGCCATGTTGTTGGTTTAGCATTATGCTGCTATTGTCCTGTAATAAAAATTTTTCAGTAAGCCCAGAGCCAGCTTTGTCCGTGAGAGTTGTGTTGTTAATACCACTCACGAGGTAACCTTTGCCTCCATCACCAGGGAGAAGTAGTTCAAGAAATGAAGTATGTGCTGTTGAATGCATCTTCTTATTTTAAGAAATAATCTTTAAAATACTGAATGAGAAGGGTGATGATGTGACATCATAACCATTCTGGACACATATAAAGCTGATACTGGGATTGTAATTAACCTACAACGCCATCATGATCACATGAAAACTACTGAAAGTGTAGCAGGACCGGGGAATCAGCGCTCCGTGATGGGTGCACCTGGCCTTCGCTGCCCACGTGGCTCCTGAGTTCCCTGATCAAGACTTCTGTGACTTCTAGCGGAGATGATCCCATTTGAGTTCAGGAGACTTCCCTCCCCGTGAGCTTTGGCACCTGAGGAGAGGGACCTGGGTGTCACCCATTACTAATATTGGCTCCTGTCTCAGCTGGTGCTGCAGCTGCTGCAGGGAGTTCCAGCCCCGTGCCGGGCCCCCTTCTATTATGTACAATTATCCAGAGGATCACGGAGGGCCGAGGCTTGGGTCCAGATTCTCTGATGCCATTTATTATGAACTTCCGAGGGGGAAAGCGGAGGAGGATTGGATGTGAAATTGAAATCATCACAGCGAGTTTTCTCCATCCTCCTTGTTTTATTCTTTTTGTTACATTCCAATGGCAGAGCTAGGTATCCTAGCACCTCTGACGAAAGCGGGAAATACAGAGCATCCGAGTTTTCGGGTGGGACACATGACGCTGTGTTTATGTAGCACGCATTCTTGCTTGTTGGATCTCAGCATTCTATCTGGAAAATACACTATACATATTTATTTTCACAGATAGAGGTCTATTTTCTTTACAGAGCAGGTGCTTTATTCCCATTAGCATAAATAGAAGTTATTACACCAAGCCAAGGAAAGAGGAGACTGCTTTTCATTATTTGCCTGTAGTTTCTGTTCTATTTGTGCATTCAGAAGTTACTTAGTGGGTGCCGGCACTATTTAAATTTTCTGAGATCTGAAAAAAAGAAAAAAAAAAAAGCCTAGCTCTTGAATAAGTTTGTGAGAACTCCCAAACTAAGGGATGAAGTCTGTTTGGGTGGCATATGATCCCATTCAATTAATTGAGGGCTGGGCAAGATAACAAGTCATAAATTAACTCTAAATATAACCTGAAAATATCAGGTGTATTTCTCTTTAGAATACACTTGGAGAGAGCTGTTATTCATTGTTGGATTTGTTTTTCAAATGATGTGTGAACACACATATTTTAAAGAATTAGAAATGAAAATTACCACTGTGGCTTTTCCCACTGAATAGCAAGCTTTTCTCCATCTAGGAAGCTGACTTGAAGAGCCCATGGGCCAGTGAGGGTAGAATTATTCCCGTGTCCCGGTGATTGACAGTCAGCCTGTGTACCTGTCTTTCTTGCAGATGTGTTTTCTAGAAAGCCCACTGCCATTGTTAATGCTTCCGCGCTGTCACACATGCGGCTGCTGTAAATACCCCCTAACAACCATGTTTGCTGCTTATCTGAATTAGTTAGAATGCTGCTTGCAGCGCCAGTTTAGAAAGAAGCAGTTTATCTTCCACCTCCTATTATTTCTTTTTCCATTAACCTCTTCCAGGGGAGATTTTGTTTTCAGTTGTGATAAATGCATGTAGGTTTCCAATCCTTGATTACATTTTTTTTTTTTTTGCAGTAGTCCCATGACCAAATTCCCAAATCATTTTCAGCTTAAAGCGGGGTTTGAAAAATAAAATGGGAGCTTAAAAACTGTGATTTGGGAAATTTTAATTTTTCTTGTCTTAGTTTTGTTTGTTATCCCTTTCAGTAATTGCCTTAGGAGACGGTCACAAATCTTTACATTTTAATTCTTAAC